GATGCTCAGCCTAAGGTAATGATTGAAGGTACAGAAAATAACTCAATAGAAATTGTCTTTGATAAAAATGACTATTATTTTGTTTTTATTGAAAAATTAAAACTTTATTATAAAACCGTTACTAAATTAGATAAAGAAAAGAAAAAAGTTATTGTAAACAAAAATAAAATTAAGTTACCGTTGTCTAAAAATAAGAAGATAGAATCTAGTTTAAATTTATTTTCTACATTAGACGAATCATCATTTTCAAATATTTATACTATTGGATCATCAACAAAATTAAGTAAAACTGATTTAAGTGAATCTATTATAACTAAAGACAATGTTTTAAAAACATTTAGCAATGATAATGAGTCAATGACATTAAGTAAAAGCATAACCGACAATTCTACTTTAACGGATAACTCATTGAGTTTAAATATGACATGTGATTCTTCAAGTATAAGTGAACCATTAAAAACAAAAAAGAAAAAGAAAGTATTTAAGAATGGAAGATTAAGAAATTTTAATCCTAAGAAAGTATTTTCAAGCAAATTAAAAAATAAAGTTGATAAGTTATTTAAAATGAAAGTAAAAATTATAAAAAAGGAATTTAACAGCAAAAAGAAAGAAATTATTAAAGAAAGGAAAGATTTAGATAAGTTGCTTAATAACAAACTAATATTCTTCAAATAAAACATTTTAACCCTCATTTTTAATGAACAATTTTGTTTCAATTTATTATAAAGAAATAGACATACCTTCAAGTAAAGCAGCAGTTCTGGTTAATAATATGATATACATACTAGATAAGAACAATTATCTGTATTCTTATAGTCTAATAACTAATAATACAGAGTTACTTCAAATGATGGGAGAAGATATCTTCACTTATAATAATAATTTATTCGTCGTTAATAAGAGTATTGTAAACAGTATTGATTCTACAATTAATGATACTAACCTTATCTATTCTTTAAAGAATGCTCCTAGTGAAATAATTTCTAATAATGAAAACGTAGTGTTTCTATACAAAAACGATCTACAATATTTATCTGATAACATTTTAAATAACTATTCATCAGTTTTATTTAAAAATTTTATTACCTTTACTTACTATAATAACAGTTATATGTTTATCTTATTAGACGATGGAAGAGTTATGTATGGTCTTAGTATGATTTATTCATATGCAATAGGTTATAAAGAAGTACTTTGCAACACCCAATTAAAAGATATTATTTGTGTTAAAGATGAATTTCTTTTAGGTGTAACTGCTAATGAAATTATCAAATACAAAATTAATAAGATTAGCAATTCCATTATTCTAGAAAAAAAGTATAAATTAAACATATTAAGTGATAAGATAGTCTATCTTTTTGATTATCTAATATCCGTGGGTGAGAAAGTAATTGATATCAAAAGTGTTCCTTATGAAATACTAAATAATAAAACTATGATTAAAATAAAGAACAGTAATGAGATCGTCTTATCTGGTAATAGAGTTTATTTTATAAAAAAGAATATCAAATCTAATGAAAAAGATTTAAAAGTTGATTTGTTTAATAAAGAATTAAATAATAAAAATCAATCTTTTGATGACTATAAAGAAGTATTAGATAAAATAACTGAAGAAACTCTCAGACAAAATTTCAAAAGTTTAATTCTTAAATTAAGAAATTTTAATTTATTAAAAAACAATACAAATAAGATAAAATTTAATATCAAAAGTAGAATTGATGAGTTAAATGAAATGAAGAGTAAAATAGATATTTCTATTGAAAAATTAAAAGAAAAAGAAGAGTTACTTAGAAGTAAATTAAGTGTAATAAAAGACAGAAGTAAGAATATTAGTGTTAATGCTAGTGAATTTAAAAAGAATTGTGAAAGATTAGAAAATTTACTTGTGAAATTAGATGAGAAGAAATTATCATTTGATTACAAAAGATTAAAGATACAAAGAAATGTATTAAGAGATATGTTTGAATAAATGGTTAATAAATCTAATTTTGTGTCTGAGTGGCCCAATGGATAAGGCGCGGCTCTCCTAAAGCCGAGACTACGGGTTCGAGTCCCGTCTCAGATGTAATTTTAAAGAAAATATTTTGTTTTTGACTTTATGAAACATGTTTTAATGTTACATAAAAACAAACATGTGTGTTTCATTATTAAATTAGTAATGTTAAGTATTATTTTATTATTAAGAAATATTTTAGGATGGAAAGTTTTATATGATATTGAAGTAGGAGAAGGTAGCAGAATGTACGTCAGACAGAATGATAAATATTTAAGTGTCAAAAAAGGAAATCATATGAGTATTTACTTAAAAGATTTAACAGAAGCCAGTGAATTTTCAATGATAAATCCAAGCCAAGATGATAAAACAAGATATATAAAACTATCCTCAGATCAGAAATATGTAATAAACAAGCATACAAGTGATGATAGTCTAGTTCATTTAGTTAATGAAGCAGAGAAATCATACAATCGAAGATTTTTTATAGAAAGAAATGAGAATCAAAGAATAAGATTTAGAGTTAAATTTAAAGATACTTATAGATGTCTAGAAAATTTAAATGGAAAAATAATAGGTGGTCCTTGTGATGAAGAAAAAGGCAGTCAACAATTTGAGATATTATCTTTTAGTTTACCACCATCCAATTACTCATCAAAAAGAATTGTTAATAGTTTAAGAAACACAGAAATATATTTAGTTGCACATAATGGACATGCATTATCCCAAAAAGGAAATGGTTTAAAATTTGAATATTATCAACAACCAGTAAAATTTTTTGTAGAAGCAGTTGATGAATTTTACAGATTTAAGCATATAAATCCAGATAATTATGTAGTCTATTTGGACACAGATCATCCAAAGAATATGCATTTCCATAGTGATGATAAAAAAACCACTAAGAAATTCCATATAGAACCAACTAATGATAACAAAGTAAAGATCATAGATTCAATTAAAGGTAGATGTTTATGTTTAGATGAAATTGACAGTAATAGATTTAATATGGAAGATTGTAATAGTGCAAAATCAAATCAAGAATTCGTATTCTCAGTAGAATCACCTTATTCTAACAGATTTTATTTAGCAAGAGTTAATATTGATAACGCTAAATTTTTCACTAAAGAGGGAGATGATTTAGTTTTAAATAGTCATCCAGGTAAAGCAGTTCAAATAAAGACAATGCCAATTAATGAAAACGAAGGGGATGATTCTTCCGAAGTCCAATGTAAAATTATGATATTTGATGAGAATAATTTGTTCTATTTAAATAATGATGGTTCTGAAGGACTTAAAATACAAGATACATTTTCAACACCTTGGTTAGTTACTGATATAAAAAAGTCAAATGAAATTCGTATAAGTGATATAGAAGGTAAAAACTGTCTAACAGCCCCTAATATAAATTCACCAAATGATGATTTTAAGTTATATAGGTGTTCTTCACATGCTATAAATACACAATTCTTTAAAAAGCATACAGATCCTGTAGTTTTATTAGCTGAATTACGTGATGAAAAGAAGAAGAGATTAGAACATACACATCATATAAATTCATTTCCTGTTAAAGTAAAAAGTAAAAAAGATGATGAGACTACAAAAATAAGAGAAGAATATAATCGTAAGAAATTAGAGTTGGATAAACTTGAAAAGAAATTAGAGGAATCAGAAAGCCCTCGTAATAAACCTATTGATTACATAGCTGTACCAAGATATAGAATGAGTAATTATAAATTAGATAATCTTGAACCGATAAGTGAAAGGAAAAGAAAGAAATTATTTGATGAAGATAGAGCTGATGAAATACCATTTTCTTATGAACATGGAGAATTTAATAGTCCAAATTTAAAGGGTGGTATTTTATTAGATAAAAATAATAATGATTTAAACAAAGATGATGATAATGAAGAAGAAAAAACAGATAATAAAAATAACAATGAAGATGATAAAATAAATGAAGAAGAAAAAATTGATAATAAAAATAACAATGAAGAAGAAAAAAAGAAAGAAGTAGCTGAAGCAATTGCTAAATTAGCAGATTTAGATAGGAAGAATCATGCTAGGAATTTAATTAATCAAAAAAATAATCTTAAATCAAATAACACTCATTCACATAATGACAATAAGAATAAAAAATTAAAAGATTTAAAAGGATTGAAATCTAAATCTAGTAATTCTAAATCAAGTAGTAGTAAAGGTGGATCAATTGTTATAACAACAACAAAAACTACATCTTCTAAGAGTTATTTAGTAGAACCTTCAGATAATCAATTGGAGCACATTAATTTGTTAGATTCATTTGAGTCTTTAAAAAATTTTATCGATAATTAAATAAATTTTATTAAAAAGTATAATTTTTATTAGAAATTTTATTCATAATTTAAAATATTACATAAAACATGTTTTAAATTTACTTAAAACCAAATACAAATGTTTCATTATGATATTATTAACATTAAGATTTATTAAGTTATTTAACGCCCAAGAATGGACTCCAGTAACCACAAATGAAATAGAAAATCAAACAAAAATGTATATTAAACAAGGTAATTATTACGTAAGTACATCTCTAGGAAATCACAATCATTTGAATTTGAGTGATGATTTGTCAAAAGCTTCAGTATTTTTAATTAATACTCCTTCAAATGAACAAAAACATAGACGTATTATTAATTTAGCATCAGATCCTAATTACACAGTTGACAAGCATGTCTGGAAAGATGATGTCGTTTTTATGTATAAAAAATTACACGGTGGTGACAATCAAAGATTTTATTTAGAAAAAAATAAAAATCAAAAAATTAGAATGAGAGTTGTTTATAAAAATAAAGAAAAGTGTTTATCAAATAAAAACGGTAAATTAGTTGGTGCAGTATGTGACGGTAATGATGTAAAACAATATTTTGAATTTATTTCCAGTAATTTACCAGATGTTAATATGTCAAATAAGGAATTTTTAAACAAATTTAAAAATAGTATAGTTTCCTTAAGAAGTAATGAAAATGACATGGCCATGTTATCATCTGATTTAACTTTTAATAATAGAACACCATTAAAATTGAAATTAGAAGAAGTTGGAAATTACTTTAAATTGATGCAAGTTAATTCAGATAAACCAAAAGCTTATCTTGACACTAAAGATGAGTTAAATTTTGAAGTTGATGATGGAATGATGACTAAAATATTTTTTATAGAAACACTTGTAAATGACACTGTTAAAATAATTGATGTTGTTAAAGGAAATTGTTTAACAAGAGATGTTGATTATAAATTGAAAATGAAAACATGTGGTGTTAATGATTTAAATCAACAATTCACCTTTATAACTGAATTTAATCTTAATAACACATTTTTTATTGGAACTCTTTGTTTTAATAATAAGAATTGTTATTTTAATAAGGAAAATTCAGAATTAAAAATTACACAAAATCATAACGATGCATCTAAATTTATAATTGAGCCAATTTTAAGTGAAAATGATGATGAAAACAATGTTAAACACAAGGTTAAGATAGTAGAATATGGACAAACTTTTTATTTAAACAAAGACAAAAATAAGCTTATTTTCCAAATAGAATATTCTACACCGTGGAATGTAACAGATATTAAAGAAAAGAATGAAATTAGAATTAGTGATGTAAATGAAGAGTTATGTGTTACTACACCTGAAATATTTTCTATTGATAAGACTATTAGTTTAAGAAAATGTCAAACTAAAGCTATTCCAACTCAATACTTTAAGAAACATGCAAATATCGCTGTATTACAATCTGAATTAAGAGAATTAGATTATTATAATGATTATCCTTTAAATATTTTATTAAATAATGAATATTATCAAAATGACAACAATTTGATTAACGATAAAACTATAAAAGAATATTATGATAATGATAAAGCCATTGAATTACCGGAATTATTTTATAAATTAATAACTAAAAATATTAAAGAAGAAAGTGATATAAAAGAGGAAAGTGATATAAAACAAGAAAGTGATATAAAAGAAGAAAATGATAAAAAAGATGAAAATTATTATAAAAATGATAATTTATATAAATTAGATAAAATGGTACATAAAAATTTAAATACATCAGATCATCATCATGAATTTTCAAATAAAAATGATCGTTTAGAAAATGGTAAAAAAAGAATTAATGATCTTATAGCTAATGGTGATTTAACTTATAAAAAGAGTAAATGTTCTAGTGGTAGCTCTTCAGGATATATAACAGTAACAAAAACTACTACTACAACATCTAAAAGTTACTTAAATGAACCTCAAGAAAAAGTAAAAAAAATAAGTTTACTTGATTCAATCAAATCATTTGGAAGAAGTTTTTTATTTACAATTGACAATTAAATAAATTTTTTAAAAAATGTTTATTTTTATAACAAATAATTAATTTAAATTTAAATTATACTTAAAATATCAGTATAAATAAGTATAATTTATACTTTTATCAAATTTTTTTGTTTCAAATCAGAAACTTTCTCAACGTTTCAAATTTGAAATAAAAACAAAATTACTGGTTTCAAGTATGTTAATGAAAGTTATAAACATTTTCAACGTTGTTAAGTTTTTAGGAGCTAATTCTTTTATAACTGTGACATCTGATCAAATTGGTGATAAAGTACATATAAGTCAGAATGATTATTATTTGAGTGGGTCTACCAGTGGTAATACAAATTTATATTTTAAGGATAAATCACAAGCTACTGAATTTACAGTTAAAAGCCATTCCAAGGGTGTTTATTTATTGTATTCTAGTGGTTCTGATTATGTTATAGATAAATCTAAGGCAAATAAAGATGCCGTTACACTATACAAAGTACATAAACACTCAAATCAGTTAATGTATCTTGAATCTGATGGTAACAAGTATAGAATTAAGGTGAGATATGATGGTTTAGAAAGGTGTTTAGAAAATAGAAATAATATTTTAGTAGGTTTACCATGTTCGGATAAAAGTTCTCAATACTTTAAAATAACCGCATCAAATGCTCCACCAACTGAAAAGACAAATACTAAATTCTATAATAATTTAATGAATGAGTTTTACTTGGTATCTGATACTGATAATCCTTTAAATGAAGTTAGTGGTAAACAATTATTCAAATTTGGAAGTTCACCTTTAAAGTTTACAGCTGAACCAAATGGAGAGTTTTATAGATTGAAGATTGAAAATGGTAAGTATGTTGATACAGAAACACAAAGTTCTGTTCATTTTGATCCTGATGATAAAAGAAATTCTAAATTATTAATATTTAGTCCTATTGATGATAACAAAACTAAGATAATTGAGTCAGTTCATGGTCGTTGTTTAGCCAGAGGTGATGATGATAGATTTGTTATTGAAGATTGTAATCCTAGTAGATCATCACAGGAATTTTCAATTTCAAACGATTCAATATTTAATGAAACATTTTATTTATTACCCGTTAAGGAAATGAGTTATATAACTAATCAGGAGGAAAAGTTGGTAGTAAATAGTGATTTATCACAAGCAGGTAAGTTTGCATTTATTCCAACTAAAGATAAAAATGAGTATAGAATAGTAATATTTGGTGGTGATGAAGTTTTATATGTAAATAGAGAAAATGATGATAAATTAACTGTTGGAGTTAAACCTTTATCTACTTGGTTAATTCCCACAAAAGGAAAATATATTAATATTAGAGATCCTAAAAATAAATATTGTATAACTCAAGTGTCATTAAAAGAATATAAGAATACTTTGAGTTTACGTAAATGTCAAGGAAACTTAAATACACAAATGTTTAGGAAGGTTGATGATCCTGCTATGTTAGTGGCTGAAGAATTAGAAAAACAAGATGGTATATTACCTAATGATGTTGATGATGTTGTCTTATCAAATAAAGCAAAGGTTAAATTAAATAGTGAAATTGGAGATGATTCATATAAAGCCAATCCAGAGTTAAGAAAAGACATTCAATCAGGAAGTTTGTTTAATCCAGAAAAATTATCAGTTGGTGATAAAATAGCAGTTGATAACGTTAATGATCCTGTTAATGAACAACAAGATGATGAAGAAGAAAATGCTTTACCTGGTCCTAGTATGGATAAAACAATTGATGATTATTATAATAAAAATAAGGGTGAAAAATTACCATTTGCTCGTAATAGAAATAATTTACCACCAGCAACTAAAAGATACTCTAGTTCATCATCAAAAAAATCATCTAATCAATCACCTAAAAATTATTCTAATCAATCACCTAAAAATTATTCTAATCAACCATCTAATCAGTCACCAAAAGGTTATTCTAGTCAATCATCTAAAAAACCATCTTATCAACCACCTAAAACAAACAATGATATTAAATCAAAATCTAATAATTCAGTTAAAAATGATGTAAATGACCCAAATAATATTAGAGATGCGGTTAGTTTATTAGCAGAATATGATAAAAGATTACATTTAGATACATTAAAAAATTCACAACGTAAAAGCAGATCAAAGAGTGGAAATTCTTATTATGTAAAAAGAACTGTAACAACTACAACTTCAAATTAAATAAATTTATTTTTAAAACATTTTTTTCCAAATTAGTAAATTTTTCATCAAAAACTTTAACAGTTGAAACTAAAAATTTTAAAACGATAAAAATTTTAAAACAAATGTTTAAGTATCTTTTAATACTGGTTAATTTAGGAGCAAATACTGTTGATAAAGAATCAAACAATATGAAAGAAAATGATAGTCAAATGATAAATATTTCTCAATTTGGAAAGAAAGTTAATATCGGTCAAAATGGATTGTTTTTAAGTGCAATTCCAACTGTGGATTCTAAAATAACATTTCAAAATAAACAACAAGCTTCAACTTTTGAAATATCACAACATTCAAACAAACAACACATGATTAAGTTATATGATACTGATAAAGTGATAGAAAAGAGTCTTTCTAAACCAGATGTAATTCAAATTAATACTGTAAAAGCCATTGATAATCAACTAATGATGCTAGAATTGGATAATGGGAAGTATAAAATTAAAATAAAATATGATACTATTGAAGTATGTTTGACAAATAAGGATAATGTACTTGTTGCAGAGCCTTGTACGGATAATAATACTCAGAGATTTGATATTATAGCTGATAACTTACCACCAGATAATATAAACGAAGACTTTGCAAAAATATTAAAGGATGATTTTTACTTACAAGTTGATAATATTCCAGTTACTAAATTAGGAAATATTTTATCTTTTGGTTTAGAATCCGAACCAATTAAATTTACATCAGAAAAAGTTAATGATTTTTATAGATTAAAAACAAGAAGTGGTAAATATTTAGACATAAACAATAATAATATTACAATTAATACTAGTGATAATAAAAATACAAATTTATTTCGTATCAAATCTATTCCAGGTAATAGAGCATTTATTATAGAAATAGTAAATGGAAAGTGTTTATCAAAAGATTTAGATAATAAAATCGTATTATCTGAATGTGGGGATGAGAAGATGAAACAAGATTTTAATTTTACAGTTGAGTCAAAAATGCCCGAAAGATTTTATATATTAGAACTTACTACATACAAATTTTTTAGTGATGAACCAGGAGAGTTAGTTTTTAAAGATAATGTTGATAAAGCAAACAAATTTGAATTAATTCAATCAGATAATGATAATGAATATTTAGTTGGTATATTAGGAAATAAAAACATGAAATATTTAAATAGACAAGAAGGGAAGTTGATAATTAATAACATGCCAGATTCAACGTGGATAGTTGGAGGTAATAAACAAACTATAAGCCTAAGTGATCCTAATAATAGTGTTAGACTTACTCAAAAAGAAATAGATGGTAAACTGGTTTTAGAATTAGGAAAATCAGAATCTGATATGAAAGGACAATTGTTTAGAAAAGCTAAAGACCCTACCGAATTAATGGCAAATAATGCATCAAAATTATTAAATAAAACCAAAGAAGTTACAATTAATGATGCAATAAAAGAAGGAGAGAATAAATTAAAGTCAGATAAAACGGGTAATAATTCAATATAACAAGAAAAAACACAACCTATAAAAAATAAAACTCAATCAATTAAGAATCAAGCAGCAAATAAACAAGCAAACAATAATCAAACATCAAATAATCAAACACAATCAAATGATAATAAAAATTCAAATGAAAATCAAAATAAATCAAATGAAAAGGAAAAGGAAAAACCAAAAAAGAAAAAAAAATGTTTGCTCATTATGGTAAATTAGCAGGTGGAATGGCTGCAAGAGCATTTTTAGGACCAACAGCAGGTCCAATTGGTGACGCTATAGGTGAAAACATTGGTAAATTTGTAGGTCTTCCTATAATGAAATTAAAGGAGAGATTAAAAAATAAATCTAAAAATTTTGTATCAAGTAATTTTTTACTTCCTAATTATGGAAATATAAGAAAAAATGAAAATAATGACAATTCAAATATAGAAACACTTGAAGTGGATAATTAAAATCAATGTATTTTTAACTTTAAAATTTTTTACTATAAAAAAGTATAATTTAAAAAAAATTATAAAACCAGTTTATTCAATTAGAGGATTGAAAACAATGCTAATATTCCCAGTCCTGATAATGTAAGAATTGATTTAATTCCATTCTCACTTCTGTTACTA